GATAAGATAGAAAGGGAGTGGAATGGCAGAAGGATAACTGTACTGTTGAGCCCAGGAAGACGACAGAAGACACGTCACCACACAGTCCCATGATTGGACACTGGGAGGCGCCCCGCCGCCGTTGGTGTTGGCTCTCTACTCAATAGAATTTTACTTCAGCCTCTGTCCATGACGTCTCGCTTCCTGTCGGATCTTACGCGAGAGTTTTCCTTGCGTTGCGATTTCGATATTCCTATCTCATTTCAGTCTCTGCAAGCTAATGTCAGAGTTGTTTGGAACCCCCTGGAAAAAGTTCATGAAAAAAACAAGTAAGAGTAATTCGACACCGTAACGTTCCTCGTCAGCGGGATTTTCAGCAGAAAGAACTTGAAAAAATTTCTGAGACAGCCTCTTGACATGTTCAGTGACCGTCTGAACTTGAGCCATATCGACCAATGGAATGTATCTGTCACTATTTGTGCAAATAGTGACAGATCTGCTGGTCTTATTATTTGTTTGTAAGTAATCAACACTGAGCTTAGAGTTCCGTGCAATAAGCAGACACGTGCGTTTCAACACCGCAGTCGCTTGTTGGATCGCCAGGCTCTAGTGTTCAGGCGTCTATCAAGGATTATTCCCAGATATTGCGCGCTTCTCTGTCAACATTTTACCATCAATTCGCAACTTCCCAAAGATCTTTACGTTGGTTAATTTCTTCGTGAAGTTGGGCTCAGTTATCGAAGTGTTCATCTCAATTTTGTTCCTGTCAAAATACGGCGTGACTATCCTGTCGAGGTGGAAATGAAGTTGCTACTTAGCCACCTCGCTTGAGAACGAGTGTGCGTAAATTGCGGTATCACCCGCGAAGATACCCACATTCGTTTGCGAGAACATGGGTGCGTGTACAATGAGTACAGGAGCGTTGATATGCAGGATCCCTGCGGGAAACCTGCTTCAATAGGGTAATGTGCAGAGTCCTAATCACGAATGAAGGCATACAAACCAACAACATTTTAGCGACAAACCCTTCCGTCCATACCTTGTCAAAGGCTTCCGTCCGTATTACGGGGAAAAACATAAAAGTGAATATTATTCTTGGTCACTACTTATTTATATCAGTGTGCCACAGCGCTGAATGAGAGTTTCATTTTGAAATATGATCAATTGAATTATCATATGGATAACTTATGAATTCCACCGACTTCTNTTAATAACAATTTTTGAAATCACTAAAGTGAATTTCGAAGTCTGATACTACTGCCTTAATTTCTGCCATGTACTTGTCAGGAATGAAATTGTAGGTAGTATGATTTTCCATATGAACCTTGATGTTTACAAATTGTTGAAATTTCTTCTTTGCGATGTCAACTCTATCATAGATGCTGTTTGACTTTGGAATGCAACAATAAAACGCATCATTTCTGCCACTATTTTTATTCTTGCAGATTTAATGTGTTCAGTTTTCCAGTAAAATCTGCTAAAAATGCTAAATCACATTGCCAGTCTGAATCACGCAATTGCTGATAATCATCTCGTCTCTCTACAAAAAATTTTGTTATTTCGTACAGCAGTTGGTGATTACGTGTGTTCTATGTTATATTTTTTGCCTTGCTCCGATCGACTGGACTAATAGTTGGGATCGACCGGTCGATCGCAATCGATCGATTGGTTACCCCTGCTTTAGACAATTCTGATAATCTCGTTGGCAATATGTACCAGCTGCACAAGACCTTTGCAAGGAAGATTGCGGAGTCAAACTGCCTCGATTCCATCAAGCCCCGGGGTTTTGTTTTTCCTCAGACGCTTGATGGTCTCTACAATCTCGTCGTAGTTAGTGAATCACTCTAATAGGATCTGCTACGTCATGTCCGTAAACAGGTCTTTTCCTGACCATATCGGTGACCCTGCTGGCATTCTCATGCTCGATACAATCGTCAGGTTTTATACGGTGGACCCCGGCAAAGTACTCACCGAACAACCGAGTCTTTTGGTGGTCCGTCACCTCGTGTTTCTGATTCTTCTGTATGGTGGGTATGGCCTCGAAGCGGTTATTCAGCCTCTCAGCCATCTTCCAGACGGAGTGATATTTCCCACTAGGACTTTCGAGCTTATTCTGCAACCTTTTATTGGTAAACTCGGAGATGCGTTCATTGACCTCTACTGCAAGTCTCAGCAGGATATCTCGAGGTCCTTTCGCCACTATTTCCCTCGTCGACCTGTCGGTGGTCTTATAAAATATTTTTGGAAATTCTGCATGTAAAAATGTTACCAAATTCCATTTTTCTAACGGTCCAGTAACTTCTCGCCAAGAAATTGAGAGTATGTTGATGATGGTGGTGATTATTGGTGATGGCAACACTGAACCTTCATCTAAAGTTTACTATTCTGTGTCTAAAGTTCTCAATTCAAAAATAGATCATTTTATTTGCCTTTTGAATTCCGAAACATCTGCCAAATTCATTACGTCTGATACATTCAAAATAGATTCAATGTACAACCGTAGTCGTTTGTTGATTTCATCAAACAAAACATCCATTTTTAAATATTATCAAATGGCTAAAGGTAAAGGAGGAAAGGGTGGCGGAGCTCCAACAGCACCAGCTGGAGATGTATACACCATCAGTTTGTATAGTTTGTGAGAAAAAACCCACCAATAGTAACACGAAGGGCTCGGGTGGTGATCAGAAGCAGGGAGTAAAGGAAACTACTACCAAAGGGGGCAAAAAAGGTTTGTAAGTCTTTCAGTATCAAACTCAAAATGATGAATGTTAATTTCAGGAGGGAAAAAATGACATTCGAAAATGGAATCTGGGGCACTATCTAGACTCACTGATGAAGTAACTGTTAGTAAAGTAATTTTATAATGTTACGTAGGCACTGCATATTTCTTGAAAAACAAACGTTTGTATTGGTATTATGGGATTTTGAAAGGATTTTGTAATATCATAGGCAATATTTTAAAAATGTTCCATATTGTGAAAGCGATTGATAAAATGAGTAAAAAAAATTGAACGCTTCTTATGTACTTCGTTAGTTTTACGAATGTACAGGTTGTGATATTAATTCACTATTTTTCTTAATCTACATAGGTTTATCAGGAAAACCATTAGTGTACCTTCTTGAGCAGTATTGAAAGGGAGAAAAAAAAAGAAATATGAACAACTTCAAAGAAAAAATTGATTTGCGCCTGTATTATATTAGAGAGAACAACGGAGTGGGCGACATTAGTTTTATATTTCGAACATCCGAATTAAGGAAATCATTAATTATATTATTACTTACGGACCAGTAGTTACAAACATTCATATATTCGTTGTTACATCTATCTATCGTAAATTTTTTTTACAGAAATGTATCAAACAACTCTTTATGATGATTAGTAATCCCAAAAAGTATTGAAACTGTTTGTGGTTTCCAGTGAAGCTTTTGGAATTTTAGGTTAGTCTGTTTTAATTTCACCAAAGCGAGTGGCTGGCATTTCCAAATATCTGTGTTGACACTTCCAACACTTATACGATCTGAAATGAAAGCAAGCTGTAGTTCTTATCTATGTCCTTGGCCGCACGATGGGAGTTTCAAAATCATTTTGGAGTTGATGTTATTTTGATTATTAACGATTGATTTAGAATTTGGAAAAAATAACAATATAACATATATTTTAAGCTTGTCACTCACTTGTGCGGCACAGCACAGTACGGAGCTGTCCGTCGCCTGATGGCGACGGGTAGTGGCATCGCCCACTTGTCCAGCGACAACCAGCATATTGAAGATGCTGTTTGTTCGATTTCAAGGAAAATACTCATAAAAAGGAATGTTGTTGGTCTATCCCATTCATCAAAAGAGGGAAAGTCTGGGAGAGTTTCATCATCTTTTCAACGATTTGAAAGAAGACGATGAGAAATTTTTCCAGTATTTCCGATAGGAGAGCTGGAACCCTTTCCGGTGCCGGATAAGTGGGCGATAAGCTTCATAAGCTACAATTCATTGAGTCGTACAGGAAAAAGTTGAAATACAATAACTAAGTTCAGAGAAGATCATGATAATATTACATTCCACAGGCGGAAGGGAATTTTATATCAAGAACAGTGGATTAATCGATAAGAAAAGCCAAATTTATACGTGATTTATGAACAGAAAGTATCATGTTCAACTAACCACAATGTACATAAAAAGGGCTTTTCTAGGAGATAAGATTATAAATACGTTTCAAACGCAGAAAAGTTCAGAAAGAGATTTATTTTAATTTATATAACTTCAAAAGTTAGAATTCCAGTACACACTAATACTAAAGAAGAAGTAGGAGCAACAGTCATCACTCCTGTAACCACCATGAAATATAAACTCCCCAGTACTTGGAGCGTGTTTACTGGAGAACTATATTCTATTCTTCAAGCTCTCACTTATATGCAACAAACAGATTACCCGAAATACGTCATAACAACCGACTCTCTGAGCTCCATCCAGTCCATACGGAAAATATATATACCCATCACCTCATCGTTAAACTTATCAAATTTGACCTCTTTCGAGTACAGCAAAGACAAAATCAGGTAGCTACAGTATGGGTTCCATCCCATATCGGCATTAGTGGGAACGAAAAAGCTAATCAAAGTGCGAAAGAAGCTGTGCAACAAGCAGATGCCATGACAGAAACAAGAACAACACCCAGCGACCTCAAAGTGTTCATCAAAAACAAAGTGCTTGATACGTGGAAACACGTATGGTCCCAACAATCCTCCAAACTAGCTGAAATAAAACAAATCATTTCAGCACCTTACAAAACTCTAACTGAAGTCAGAAACCATCAAATAGCTATCACTAGACTTCACCTTGGTCATACAAGGCTCACTCATGGATATCTAATAACTAGATAACAAAAACCATCCTGCGATATATGCGAGACAGACCTCTCAGTAAAACACATATTAGTATAGTGTCCAATGTACTATGTGGAAAGGCTGGAGCATAACTTAGCGGAAAATCTCAAGGACATCTTAGGGGAAAGCTGTTATACACAACCACTCATCTCATTCTTAACCAACATAAAAATATTACATAAATTGTAAATAACTTTTGTAAAATACTATGTCAAACCGCTAATAAACTTGGAAGTTTTAAATAAATAAAAAAAATACTAAAGATTTGGCTAATCTTCAATGTATTTTCAGAGAGATGATCATCTTTACTTCTATTTTTTGCAGTTATGATGGATAAACTAGTGGGAGTATTAATAACTTTTGAATTAGTGTAGTGAAATATTTTACCATAAAATTTATTTCCCTTCATTGCACATTCATGCAGTCTCCATTTTCATTCATATCATAGATGAAATAATACAGACTGAAGATGTCGATTACTTTATGAGATTATAAAAAACGAATGTCTGAAATAGTTCAGTTCATTGAGGCGGCAAATTCTGGTCTTCATCATCCGAAGATCCCGGATCTTCCATCATGTTAATTATTTCAGTTTGCATTTCGTTGTCATTCATATTGGTTTCTCTCAAAACAGTCATCATTTGCGGAGAATACTGCTCGACTTTATCCAATAAAGTTTCTGGATATCCTGGAGAGTAATACCGCACAATTTCTTCAGGGAAACATGAATTAATTACGGTGATATACTCATACAATGTTGTGCCTGGTTGGGCGTCTATCATCTGAACTTTTTTTAATCCACCTGTAGTGACGAAAAGTCGTCTTGCTTTTGGATCTTGTGGTAATACCTGAAATAAATATTGACATTTCAGTTTATTGTATTCAGTCATTTTTCTACAGATATTAAAAGCTGGTTTATCTGTAGTTCCATATTGATTACGGATATTGAATACAGTTTCAATATAGTGAACTACACATGATTGAAAAAATGAATACATCAACAGAAAAATGTCAGTCACAACACTTCACATATTTCTATCAAATTAACTATAAAATTATTGTATCACTCGTTCGACACTGCTCTTTCAACATAAATCATGAATTAACCTACTAATGTTGACACGTGTCGAGAAAAAAAGTTGCATTTCTGGTGTGTGAAACAGGTGAAATGTTATTTGAGGCTTGCAAAAATTCGTGGATGGTTATTAATATATCGTCAATTATAGTTTATGTAACTCACATAAGGAGTACAGTTCTCAACCCAAATCCTTTCTTATTCGAAACAAAAGAAATCGCATAGAATTTGGAAAATATTCGTAAAGAGGTTTAGAAGACGTAATTAAATGTCAACAGCACAACAATGAAAACAGTTCAATTCCACTTTTTGTAAAAAGGAACACAACACTTCACATATTTCTATCAAATTAACTATAAAATTAATGTATCACTCGTTCGACACTGCTCTTTTAACATAAATTAACCTACTAATGTTGACATGTGTCGAGAAAAAAGTTGCATTTCTGGTGTGTGAAACAGGTGAAATGTTATTTGAGGCTTGCAAAAATTCGTGGATGGTTCTGTTTTTTCCTCAGAGCATGCAGATAGTTGCCCTGTCAAACAATGAATCAATCGGAAGATTCATCTCTCAGAAAGGGGGCATCTATATCATAAATATAAATACATAATTATGAATATTCATAGTAGGGTGCTAATGACGGTTCTGAACCTCGCCACTCATCTTTCACTTTGAATAACATCACAAAGTATTAACGCTCATAGTTATGTGTAATATTATTGATGGGGTTTGCATTATCATTAAAATAGTGAATACATTCTTTGTGTGAGGGTAAATCATCAATATTGTCAAACTATTTCACTAAGGTATCGCTTTTCCTACATGCTACCCAATGTGTAGCTGGACCATGTCCACCATCCAAATTTACTATGGCAGATTTATATCAGTGTGATCCTGATTTGTCCTTTCTACCAAGAAAAATTTTCTACGTGTGTTGACGACCTGCCCCATTCAATTGCTCCTTGCCTACTATCGCTGCCTGAACTCCTTTTGCTAGCTGTGCCACCGACTAAACGACGTAGCGCAGATCAATCGTCGAACAGAACGGCTACCGACTGACCAATAATTTTTGGAATCGATATAATTTGCTGCGTGCATTTTTTCACCTGCGGCCTTCGCATATTTGCGCACTGTCTTCAGTAGCTCTTTTCGTAATAAATTTGCTTCCTACCGCTTTCTTCCGCCGTGTGTAGAACATCACGCACTTTTCTGACGATTCTACCTAGAGGCTTTCAATATATTTTTAACAATCGTGTGCAACCATATGCTAAAAAAATGAAGTTCATAGGGACATCCTGATAGTTATCAATTGTTATTCGAAACATATGTTGTCAAGACCGCTGAAAAATAAAAATGGTGATCAAATTACTATAGCTATGTGCTGAAAGATGGCTGATATGATTCAAGAAACCTAGAATTTGATCATGGTATTGAGTTCTATAATTCGAAATTCTCATCGTCAATGAAAGAACACCATATCAGAACGTCGAACATTTGGCTCCATACGGAGTTTTCATTTCAAGGTCATTACAGTTGGTTGAATATTTTTTCTATAATAACCAATATAACTATAATACCATTGGCATAAAACCTGAAGAGATGAAACCATCTAAAACTTTTTTAGTTTATGCAAAATCTGACAGTAAACGAGGTGAACGTGAAAACAATAAATTCAAAATAGGAAATATGGATCGAATCAGCAAGTGTAGAACCGTATTTCATGAAGAATAATTCCATATGCAGTGACGATATTAAAATCATGTTGTTCCTCAACATTCAAAAGACTCATTGGAGCAATATTTTTCAACGAACACTTTTGCTGTATCAGCATCTTCATATAAAAGCAATTCACAAAGAAAATCATCAAAAGGGTACTTTATGATACATGAAATAGATTTGGGAATAGATTTAAAATCAGCGTACACAATGGCTAGAACTCTCAACTCTTTCTCGATATTTTCTAATGTCAAAATATTCTTGGGTAAACATTCACCAAATTTATCAACCCTGTTTTTGATCGGTTTTGTTGATATATGATTATAATCGTTCAACTGATATCGCAATAAAGCTCGCTCATTACCAAAGTACAATAAAAAAACACCAACTTTCTATGATCATGTGCAGATGTTTGGTATTATACTGATTCACGTGACTGTTAAGATATCGCTTCGAATAGTGTAACGGGCCTACAACTCCGAATTCAATTCTTCCATTTCTGAAACTATCATTCATAAACTCAAATCAGGAATGTCTTCCAACTTATCTAGAAAATCTATACCTCTTACCTTGCCAGGTTGCAAATCTGAAGTAACACTTTTCTTCAATTCGATGAACTTTGGTAACTCGATGTAAGAAGAGCCTCAATAAAGCTTATACTTATTGATATCAACCTTCTTATAGTGAATTTCCTTGACGATCCGACATGAAAATATATTTTCTCTACATATTTAATCCGAAATGCTATGAATAGAGCACATACCTCATTATCGATCTTGAAACTATTGAATGACTCGATTTCATAAAACTCCTCAGTTATATACTGCAAGGTTCTTTGATGTACATTCATCTGATCGCGTACAATAGTTTAATCGCAGCACCAACGTGTTTTTATTCAATGAAGACTCTTCATTGGTGGAGGCGTTGGAAGGCTTAATCTTCACTTCTTCGATGTTGAAAGTCCTTCATCATTCATGTGTGTACAGGAATCCCGCTGATGACGATGCAGGTTTTTATTCTGACTGACACTTTTTCACATTCACTCCACAAATACATCTTATATCAAATTATATAACCCATGATGCAGAGAATTTCAAATAAGTGAAACATTCGCACCACCTTTCTTATAAGAGCAAAACCTACCCACTTCAATCCAAGGGAGAGATACAATGTTTCATTTAAGGCTAAAATTATAGGTTGTATGACATAGCAAAAGTTCAAGAGAGAGTCGAGTACTAAGGTCGTCCTCCGTGTTCAAGGTCATATGATGTGCACGTAGTTCACGGTCGTGTGACGTCATTCAAGGTCAAATTTGAGTGGTGGGGGAGGTTTAGAACCGTCATTAGCACCCTACTATTTATTAATTGCAACTTATTTACCCAACATTCGTTTCAAAAAATTTCTCAACCACATAAAATGAAAAAGAAACAAAAAGATGATCTAAAGAGTGAGATTAAAAATGAGAAAACTTAGTAGGTCTACCACTGAAAAAAGTTAGTAACACGCAATGGAAACTACTTTTGAATTGAGTGAAAGCGATGACAACTATTCTTCAGTTCTTCATGTTTCAATGCATCTCCATCAAGGAACCAATGCCTCTTAAACAGCAACTGCACAAGACTGAGGATGAGGAGCTGTTATACCTACTATTCAGCAATATTCCCTGTTTTTTCTTCGATTGACGACTTGTTTATTTTGTGGAAATTCATGTTCATTGAGGATACACTACAAAAACACACTTTTGTCTATTTTCCACTATATTTCTTTATTGTTGACCGGTTTCGGCTATTATACCATTTTCAAAAGAAATATAGTGGAAAATAGACAAAAGTGTGTTTTTGTAGTGTATCCTCAATATTCCCTGTAGAGTCTCTTTCTAAATATCTAACTTGAATAGGTAATCAGTAAAAATTAGCTTGCTAGTCGACTACACCAAATCATTATAATTTTTTCACTATACTAAGACGGTACTTAGACTCATTATCTCAAACAAATGCTGAATCACCTGAGGAAACAGAAGCTTTACTTATGATGAGCGAGTACTTGTACCTATATGTCAGCCTCTACCCTCTCAAAATCACATAAATGTTCATTTTGAATAGCAACGCTTGAAAGAATCATTGAACTATGCAGGATACTGAGTGTTTTCTCAGGATATATAGATAGGAACTTGATATAACCTCAACATTACGGTTTATTAATATTTTCCTGACCTACCTCATCTCAACACTCCAGATGGAGAAACGTCCTACCCATGTAAGGATCCGGTACTTTCGAACTTCAGAAGTAGGTAAGTAGATATTCGGTTATCTTCTTCTGAATAATGAAGTTATTTCATTAAATTAAGTTTGCCCTCATTACATGGAATCGTCGAAACTTTTTTGTTAAAGAGAAATAACTATTGAAACAAATTTAGACGTACTTTAGCAGAACTCATATTGCTCCTTTGGATGATACCTATATTTAACTATCAATATACATTTTATGTTGTATTATGTCTATCGTCGCTTTGTTGTCAATTATTGTTAACCACCTTCTCTATTCCCTCGGCGTATTAAACATCATATAGACCAGACAAGTTATATAATAGCCATATCACGATGGAATATCTGTATTCAAACTCTCCACCAACATGGCTTCGAGTTTTAAATGTATGACAACAATATCTAGATAAAATTAATCGGAATACCTTTCACATCCAACTAACAAACTACAATTTCTGAAAATGAGTTGAAATGGTAAATCAATTTCGAAGTGACGCAAAGTAATATATAAACGTTAACTTCTGTTATCACTACAGAATTGTGGAAATGGAGATAAGTGTCCTTTATGGTCGATCGTGGGAAAGCTTGTAATCGAATACAACGGATACGAATTGGATGGATTCAAAGTTTTGTTGAGTAAGTCTTTCTTGACCAGATTCCATCGTATAAGGGATTTTTGACCGACCTCCGTTTCCCAACGTTTTGACCAGTAGCGTGTTTATTTATGGCGTTCGGGAACATTCTAAGGTAATGCTGTTGAGTTGGGCGTTGTTATATCGAATCCGTTATTATT